ATATAATATAAAATCATATCAATTTAAAGAATGCTAGAAAATAAAAGTATTTATACAAGTAATGTGATATCGATTAGGTACAAAAAAGTTCTTAGACATTCAGTTAAATTGATAGGCCATTTTACAGACCAAAACGCAATTATTAATAAATACGTTGTATGCTCCCACGTTCAAATTATTAAAAGTACATAATTTCTATATGACAATATTGAAATATTTCTTTGTTAACATTCTCTCCAAAGACAAATGCACTTTATTATTAAGAATTAAGATTTCTATACCTCATGATCCAAGGTAATTTTTCTAATCTAACGACGTAACATTCATCTCCAGCTGTACATAGATCTTACATCTTAGATGATTTTAAATGACAATCTCATAGATCATATCTTTCCTGACAATTAATTTTTTATTAATTTCCTCACACTTAATAAGATTTCGTTGATGTTCGTATGATGAAGGCGACATTAATTAGAAAAGTCGAATAACCGACTTTATCTTGATTTTCAATGAAGTAATATTTGGTCAAATATTGTCAATTTTGACTATGAATGAACATTCTTCTTGACCTAACTATCTCGATCGAGAGAATCTAAGGTATCGTTGCTGGATGAATGAGCGAGATCACTTAGTTCGTCCAAATGTTTCTGCCGTTTTCTAACATTCCAATGAAGGCATTCAGCTAAGGAGTCGAACCAGTCGGTGATTTGGTCGGCTGCGCAAATGCTAGGCACCGGGTATATAGAGGTTGTCACTTTCAAACTGAAAAATTATACGATATTTTTTAATTAGTCAATTTAATAAAATTAAACAAATCTAATTTAATGTTAAAAGTTTGCTTTGCAATAAAATAAATTAATACAAAATAAAATTTATTTAAGTTGCTTCTTAATTATTTATAATTATTTGCAGAAAGTGTTTTTATAAGAAAATGGTTCATGTATTTGTTAGAAATAGTGCATTCTAATGTAAGAGAATATTTATATTGTGGTGATTTCTGTATGATAAGCAAAAAAGCCTTAATTTTAACGTTTATGTATATAAGATTTATCGTAAGTATGAATAAATACATTATTAAGTACCGTCACCTTGCAGTACAGCTGACGTCTCCAAAAAGGTATTCTAATGTAAATATTGGCAGCAAAAGGAGTATGAAAATTAAGCAAAGAATAAATAAACACGTAGCAGATAATTTTAAAGTATGATTTACAAAAACAGAAATTATAAATTGCGTCGTATTTGTATAAAGTGAAAAAAATGGAAAACAATAATGTGAAATAAAAAAAAAGTGAAAACAATATCAACTGAAATAAGCTTATTTGTCATTCAAATTATACATATATATACTCTGATTAAATTTGGTTATCTAGCTCTTATTTTTTATTTGAATGTAGATTTGATTTGAAATAAGCTTGTTGGAAGAATTTTATGCGTCATGATTTACAAAATTTATGAATATGATTTTGAAAAAACGGAATAAATTAGTGAAATGTATCGTTTAATGCAACGAGACATAAATATAAGAAGAAAAGCGATACAGCGTTCTTTAGGAAAGCAAGACAAACCTGTCGCCGACACGCAGCTCTTGCTGATTGCGGCCATCAAAGGAGACGTAAGCTGTACTGCGAGCATTGCTATTCGCCATTATCTGAAATAATTGTAGAAAAGGCAAACGATTAGACAGAGCTGCCGAGCGTTTCAGTTTTACCTGTCACCGTGAAAGAGTTCCTGTCTATTTCTACCGTCGAAGGACACCCACGAGGTATTTCTGCTGTCGGGTGAAACCGAGATCTGCGGTGGAAAGCAAGATGATCATGTTAATTGCTGCTGATTACAGCGGTACCGCCGCGGTTCGTTTAACTCGAAATAATGCGTTAATTTCTTAGACCTTTTCTGAAGTCTGTTGCTTAACAAGTCTTTTTACAAATTCCGTTATTATCATTCTGGAATGACGTATGTAAGAAAAATTTTAATATAAATATAAATTTTTAATTCAAATAAACTTAATTTAATTTAATATAAATTTTAAATTGGAATAAATTATCATATTTAAAATAATTTCGAAATTTACAAAAGATTAACAAGAGAATTTCTTATTACAAAAACAATTTTTCTATAAAATGTTTAAAATGTTTCTTTAGTCGTAACAGGTTCTTTTGTGAGAAATAAAATATTTCCAAAAATTCGGATAGTTTGAAAACTTTGGAATAAAAAGCTAGTAGTATATTTGTCCTAAGAATGTGTTGTGACATCTGGATGACATATGAGAATCAAATTTCTTTCTATTGAACACGAATATGGTTTCAGATTTCAGTAGCTTCTACTCATTATTGACATCGCGTTATAGTTGTACTAAAATTCCGAAATCTTTGTATAACGATATTACACTGAAGAAGACTCTGTGAGTCGAAACGTTTGTATTAGTTCTAAGAAAAAAATTTTTTCGTTATATTGAATGTGTTGTTAAATTACATTTATATATACAAAAAAAAACTTATCAAGATCTTTTTTACTCGTTTTCGATCATAATTAATATTGTTTACTTTGCAAATTTATCGAGCATTGTCATATTATTGTTATCAAATTTCCTTCTATTAAATACGAGCCATATTTCAGTAGAAGAAAGAATCAATTTAATTGAAACTAATTCTGGTGCCTATTATAAATCATAAAAATAATGAATATTACTCAATTTAATTGTTATTAATAAGTTAAACTGTTATTTAAAAAACTCTTCGAAGTTTCGTTACTATAAAAAACTCAAAACCAACTCAAGTGAAATTCCATATCTACATTATAAATATCAAAAGAGTTGAATAAGACGATTTCGTGAATAAAATCAAAAGATGTTTGTTTTAAAGTTGTTAGAAATTTTTAATTCGCCATCATAAATGTATGAAACGTTCCATTAGCGCATTTCTTCGATGTTCTTCGACTTTTTTAAAAGACTATAGAACTACCTTGAGCTCGACCCCAGCAGGTACGACGATCGGCCTGAAAGACAGAGAGTGAGGGCAGATTGGTGTGATCATTATGGCAGGAACTGAAGGATGAATCATGCTAGCTCCAGCAGCAACTGCATAAGCGGTCGACCCGGTCGGCGTACTCACGATCAAGCCATCACCCTGGACGCTTGTCACGTGTTTGCCGTCAATGAATAGGTCGATATTTGAAAGGTAAGGTGAGGGCCCTCGATCCACTACAACTTCATTCAATACCAAGAGATTCGTTGGTGGTTCAGTCAGCTGACTGTCCTCATTCTTGCGTATAATTATGCACCTCAGACGACTCCTTAAAGTTAAAGCTGCATTACCTAGAATCGAAAAACGAGATATAATATAAAATTGGCGATTAAGAATAAAAATGCAAAATAAATTGATAACTAACCTTCAAGAACGTTGGTCACTTGTTCCTGAAAATTATCAAATTCGAAGGGCGTAAGAAATCCTAAAGAACCAAGATGGAATGCCATTACAGGTGGTACTGACTGTTGGAACAACAAACTGGCATAAAGAAGTGTACCGTCGCCTCCCAAGCAGACGATAAAATCAATTTTATCCTGAAAACAGGAAGCATTTCTCAGGAACTTTATTTAAAAGAAAAAGTAAAAGACAAATATTGAAAATTAAAAAAAATCCTTATTTTTATTATTTTTTGGAAAATTTAATCATTTTTATTATTTCTTGCTTTTTATAATATTGTTCACTTTTATTATTTAATAATTAATTAAATTGGATCCGATATAAGTATAAATAAATTTTGAGCCTTATGAGCAATATCATAAAAAATTGTATAAAAAACAATAAACAATAAATGTAGATTATAATTTTTATAATATTTCAAAATAAGTGAAGAACGTTACCTGCAAGTCATCTGTGCCATCTCTAAAAGTTTGTAATCTATCACGAACACTTTGAAATTTAGAATCCCTGGCAAGGGCTGGGTCCTCCAGAACAGAAGCTTCCACAAATACAACCATTCGTTTTGCCTGTATTAAAGAAAAATCAAAATAAATTTATTATAATTGCAATGATTTACTTTTATTAAACAAGCATCAAATGTAATCATTAAATTCTAAATAACATAAATAATAAACTAATTATAATACACAGTATCATATCAAATTGTATGTTTTTAATATGCATTAGATTAAATAAAAATTAAATATAACTGTACTATAATAATATAAAATTAATAATTAAGAATACGTGGCGAAAATGTAAATTAGAAATAATGATAGCTTCTTCATGCAAATAAAGTAAATTAATTTTTATAATAATTATTTATAATAATTATTTACTATGACAAATGTGCTGCTGACATCAATTTGTGAGCCTGCTAATCAACCTTTCGAGGTAGGCACATCGCAATCTTTCGATATTTTAAATAATTATATTAATATTACCTGTATCAACCATGTGACCAACTGAACAAACGGTAGCAGGACTGACGAATCACGAACCTTCTTGATAACCAGAACAGAGAGAGGTGGCTTGTTCCACGTCAACCTCTGAGAGGCCGGGTCCTGAATAGTCCTGAAATGAGCAAGGAAAAGTATATAATCATTATAATTTTTTTTCTTCTGATTTATATAATTATCAACTGTCTCGCGTTTCTCAATATCAGAATTATGTTTTATAGAGTATTCTATAAAAACAAATTTATCGCAAACTGAGAGGTCGTGAGTTCAAATAAGACTAAAGTATACTTTACGCAAGTGTGATCGGAAGAACAAATTTTACGTTCTCAATGGTCTATTACGCGTCTATATTACTATCAGTTTTATATTAGACTTCGTCTAATTATTCGCTAGCTGTCGTTGTGTACTGTATAAATGTTAAGAAACAATCAAAGCAAAGAGACAATGGCTGCAACTGATGAAATGTAAAAAAGTATTGACCCTGATGACAATTTCATTTTACTGTTTATGAGTATTAAAGTAATTACATTATTATATTGTACCAAAGTTTTTTATACAATCTATAAATTTAAATGTACATTTCTTCATCCGTATAATTAAATAATAAAAAATTTGTAAAAAATTGTATAAAATAATAAAAAATTTGTAAAATTTATAATAAAGAATGATTGATTAAATTGCCTAGAAAGAAATACAATAAAATAAAAAAAATTGTAAAAATATATTTTCTTCAATATTTGCAAAGATTTGCAAGACATAAATGGAAATTTCAAGTGACATTTAAAATATATTTAACATTGCAATTTATTTTAATGTCCGCACATATTATAATTTTTTTATACAATAACCGGTTAGAACAATTCACTGATATAAAATAAATAAATTTGCAGTAATTAATGATATCAAATATCAATGCGACGATGATTTTATTGTATATCATGCACTAATTGTAAATAAGTACCCTGTCAAAGCCTTAAATAAACTTGGTAAAATTATATTACAGAGAACATACAAAAATAAAACTTAATTTAGTTATAATAATATGTTATGTACAAAATTTTCTATAAAAATTGTGATGCCAATTAAACAAAAGGACACTTTAATACAAGAATTAAGAAGTATATTATAAGTATAAAAATGGATTATATATTATATAACATAAAATTAGAATCGTTACGATTTTCGATTATTATTTCGATTATTCAAAATATACAATTTTGGATTTTAAATTGAAAAAATGTTAAAATATTGGACTCCGAAAATATCATAATAATTAATTGATCTATAAAATGTTATATGTAAAAGAATAACTAGAACTCATTCCCTAGAAAATATTGAATTCTTAGACGATTTTTATTATTGTTTATTTGATATGTTCCAGAACAAATGATTAAAAAAAAAATTGATATTTTTTAATAATAATCTGTTGGTATATAGTTTTATATATATATAATTCTTCACACACTCTCGTGACAATTAAGTAAGTGCTTTCACACATTTTCTTTGATAATTTAATAACGTTTCAATTTTAATCTGTATAGAATTAGAAAACAATTTTTTACAGAAGCTTCATCACAACGAAATTTATTTTATGAAAGTAAAAAGTAAAAAGCTAAATAGTGAGTGTGATGTCTAATAACATTACAAAAAATAATGATAATAGTAATTTTTTAAGCTTTATTTTTATAAAATAATTAATTTTCAATCCTACATATTTATTCTTTGAGCAAAATATTGCGGATTGAGCTTACATATAGATGATTTGAAATAAAATTTTTCGAGCACAATATATGTAATTTTTAATTTTTAACTATGTGTGTAGTTTTATAATGCTAATGTTTATTTCATAGTATTATCATTTACATATTATTTATCATATACATATATGTATAGATACGGCTAAACATGATAATATACGTTCTGTTCGTTATATTTGATAATTTATGTTAATAAAATGTTTTAATTTATCTAATTATTGGTTCGTTAATTTAACCTTTCTTGATTATAATGTACTAATAGTTTCTATTTTTTTCTTATCAATTTAAATTAATTCATATATATTTTTTTGTACATCGATTTGAGTCGCTTCCTTTATTTTACATATTACACTGGAAAAAAATTTTATATAATCAAAGAAATATTTCTTTTCTTTTATTAAAAAAAAAATTATTTCTTTGCATCAGTAAAAAAATGGATCAAAGAATTTTTTCGAAATTATAAAATATTCTAAAACATGTAGTGAGAAGGCTCGTTAAGTTTTTCAAAGTAATAATAAAGAGAGAAAGGGTATACGAGCAAACAAATTTGTTAAAACATTTAATTTTATTCTAATATACTTATTGCGAAGAACATTACGTTATTTTTGGCGTTTCGTCCCGGCTTCCACTACTGGACTCATCAGTAAGGCATTGTAGTGGAAGCCTACCTTGGACGATGAGTCCAGTAGTGGAAGCCGGGACGAAACGTCAAAAACAACGTAATATTCTTCGCAATATATTAGAATAAAATTAAATGTTTTAACGAATTTGTTTGCTCGTATACCCTTTCTCTCTTTATTATTAGATAAAATATTCTTTTACTTTAAAAAAAATATTTTAATTTTAAAGAAATTGTTATTGATCTAAAGAAGTAACTTTTTTTAATATAAGAAAAGAAATACTTCTTTAAAATTAAGATTTTTGTTTTCAGTGTACATATGTTCGAATAGTAAAATTATATGTAATTATAATTTAGTTATTAATATTAATACGTCGTTGAAATTCTAAATATTTTTCAAGTATATTTTTGTGTCAGACAGTCAAGTAGGGAATCGATAACTTATCCGACTGCCAAACTTCACGAGGTTGATTGAAATAAAACAGGCTATAAGATTTGATCATGTTGTTAATGTTTAATGGATAATTCTTAAGTATTTTCTAGGAAAAAGGAGAGTAAGAAAAAAGAGAGCATTGTCAAATATTAAAAAATTAAATTTGCACTATTTTCGTTAAATAACATTTGAAAGAATTAAAAGTGATTCAAATTATATACAATAATTTGACATCATATATAATTATGTATAATTTGATGTATGTGTGCGCGCGCGCGGGTGTATGTGTGTATGAGTGCATCAAATTATAATTATACATAATAAATTTATACACAAATTTAATTTAAGTTATTAACATGAATAAGATAAACTAGTAAAAACAATGAGTTCACCATATTAACAAAAATTTCAGAATAATTAAGGCAATTCATGATTAAACACACTTAACACTAGTAATATATATATAAAAGATTTTCTCTCCTTCATAAAAAAAACTTCAATTTTCATTCACTAGGCAATTTATCACTAAATTAATAGAAAGTAATTCTTCGAAATTATCAATCGTGTTTAAGGAAGTACGATCTTGTGTGTGTCACGAGATTGTAAACGGTCAATCATTATATGAACATCTAAAAAAAATTATATGCCTCGACAATCTACCTCGATGTTCCAACCATGATGCGACACTGACCACTGGTTGACGAATGCACGCTTACTGACTCAAGCAAAAGCTAGAAATTTAAACGGAAACGTCGCGCACGCGCTTATATGTCGTATGCATGCGCGGGAAATCACGCAGTCGGCATCTGATTTATTCTATATACAAAACGTGTTTTTTCGAGCTCTAGCGGAAGATTATCATATCCATAATGAAGCGTCCATTGTTAATTTTTTCCAAAATTTTTTACTATGTATAGATATTTATTATGCAAAATAAATCAGTTATAAACATACAAATATGAAATTTACACACACACACACACACACACACACACAATAGAGTTTCTTCTCTGTTCCACAATAAAATTATACGCATTCAAAAATTATATTTTTTATATTATATAATTAAAAAACAAATTAACTTAAGTCAGGATTATAGTATAAAATAATATAAGAATAGAATACATGGGTTTCATTAGAACTTTGAAGAGCATATACTATCATATTATTACGTCCTTCTGTATTTATTTTATATCTAATGAGTGATGAAGATAGAATGATACAGAGAGAGAGAGAGAGAGAGAGAGAGAGAGAGAGAGAGAGAGAGACTGATAAGGTGCTTCCCAAATGTATCCTATGTATATTCTATTCTTATATTAATTTATGTTACAATTCTGGCTAAATTTGTTTTTTTAATAATAATAATTATCTAAAAAGTCTAATAATTACTTTAAAAAAATTTTAAGATACATATTATTTTAAAATAAAAATTAACTAGCAGACAAAAACAAATCTAAAAAGCAGTAGTAAACAAAAGCAAATCTGGTTATAGTTTAAATGCTCTTTTAGTATATAGTATTACGCTTAGTCATCATTTCTTGCAAAAAGAAACGCAAATGAGTTTCGTTAACCGTTTCTAGTGTGTTCGACATTTATTACATGAATGCGATTACCATTTTGGTATGATTGTTTGCTAATGAAGATGACCGTTAAGCTTTTTCCGCTAAGAAAAGCGAATATCGTCTAACAAATAAAGCGCCTATGTACGTAGATTTTTTTCTTATATGCCTGCATTTTTTAAGGATTAATAATATTATTATTTTTCAATCAATAATTATATTAATATGATAATATCGATCTACGGATACTGTAAATCTGAGCCATGATATCACTATGATGTGAAATGTTATTTTTATAACTTAACTCTTTTGTTACAGTTTTTACACTATGAAATGTGTTATTCGACCCGGCTGTATGAGTCGCGCGTGTACTCAAAGCGATATATTACGTCTAAATTTAAATATAATAGCTTAGTATATTGTTATTATTCGTGATAAGAAAAAAGAGTCGAGCATAGACTAAATGAGTTTTTCAAGTATTGCGATGCCAATGCTCTCTGTTCAATTCATAATATCCCAATTTGAATTATTTCTAATCAATAAGTTAATGTTACTCATGATATCAAAACATTAATAAAGAAACCGGCAAATACAAATAACAACGCTGTAATTATTGTATAAATAGATACAACATAATTAGTTGATTAAGTAAAAAAATATCATAAAGAGATATATTATTTAACAAATTTAAAGAAAACTCTCGAAAATTTCAAATAACAAGAATAATAAGGCTAATGAGAGCTATTCGCTGTTGTTAGTGCGATCATATATAAGATATGTTAAAGTGTGAATATTATATACTACGTAAGTAGTTCCCCCCATTGCGCGCCGAACATCCGTCGAACTTAAAACGCAAATCTAATTAACTACCGTAGTAATATCACAATTTTTGATGCTTATAGCATCTGAAAATGTATTATATTATTTAATATAATACATTTCGATTCTTCTTTAGAATCAGTTTATAATTGTGAGTCGATTTGAGTTATTTAAAAATTGATTGAAAAATCTTTATTAGAATTTATGATAAAAATATAATTGAAAGGTTTGAATGTTGACAGATATACATATATGTTCCATTGTACGAAAAATATAAAAAGCTAAGAAAAAGACTTTCTTTTCCTTATACTGCTATTATGCTCTTTTATCCTATGAATACTTTTTATACAAGAAAGAGAGATTCTATTCATCTTCAGATCAACATATAAGGCAAATTTTCGGTGCGTTGTGTACAAAAACCAACAATATTAATCAAAGGAAGAGACGTGCCAAATCGAGTCTTGTACACCGGATGTTGATGTGTGTAAAACTTTGATTTCTTGTAAATGTACAGTTTTTCTTACGTTTCGATCCACAGTTCAATTCTCAATTATATAAATTGACTGACCTTGTTTTATTATCTGACAACAACTTTATGCAAGCCTCTATTAATCATTATATTAATTCTAATCATAGTGTTCTAGGTAGCACAATGCTTATATTGTAATAGAAGTTTTTTGAAAAGGATCCAAACTGTGGATCGAAACGTAAGAAAAACTGTACATTTACAATAAATCAAAGTTTTACACACATTAACATATCCGGTGTACAAGACTCGATTTGGCACGTCTCTTCCTTTGATTATTATCAATACGAGTCATTTGGTATCATCATTTTTTATACAACAATATTAAATTAGTTCAATTAGTAGTTAATTGTAATGAATATATAACAATAATTAGAAAGAACTAAGTAGTTCGATGAATTAAAAACATTTAGTTTGTACTATAAGACGTTAGAATAAGAATTGTAAATATAGAAATTATTATTTTTAAATCATTCTTATAGATTATTAAAGACGATCGAAGAAATTTATAAAACTTTAAATGAAAAATTTCCACATTGAGAATATCCCTGTAAGGGTAACAGCCAATTTGCATGGTGTGTATGACATATATGTCTACCCAAAAAATGGACTTTAGTGGCTCGGGATAAGAGACTTGTAGTGTCTCTTATTAATCTTTTAAAATTAAATTAACTAGTAGTTTTTTGAAAATAGCCGGAGACACTATCGCGTCTCCTGATTACTAGAGAGAGTATCTAGTTGTAATCATTAATATTCTAAGTAAGACAATGTTCATTAAACTATTTCCAACTAATCTTGAGTTAATATTGTATAGGAAGTTGCGTTGCCTCAATAATTAAAATTTAGAATACGTATAATACAATATGCACAGCAAAAAAGTGTCAATTATGCTAATAAAGTATTATTTCTGTTAATAATATAAGTTATTACTTATTTAGCTTCGAAAATCGTAGTAAATTGTAAAATATCTGTCATTTAAATAATTATAAACAATAGTGTACATTATCGGTAAGAAATATAATATAATAATAATAACTTATTAGACAACAATGAAAGGATATTTTCTTCTCGATTTGAAATTATAAAGATAAAAAAATATCAAATAATATAGGTATCAAATATTTTAACAATTAATATATATAAAGAAAAATAAATTTTATATTTTTTCTATATAGTATATTGAACACGACTTCTGTATAATTTTATAATTTTAAAAAATTGATAAATTATTTACCATAAGAAACCCGTTAATTTTTATTTGATATTTTTCTCCAACCTGTTTGATATTTTCTCGGAAAACCTTCTAGCGTTGTAAGTACAATACCTTATGTTTTGAAATATCTTATCTTCATAAACGCGCGTTTATCGTTAATAAAATGTTTTGTTTTTGCAGAGGAAATAAACATTCACTGTCATAATAAAATAGCTTTTTATTTAAGAAAAGATAAATAAATACTTTTTAATGTTTTAAATAATTAAAATACTATAGTGTTAGATTTAAAACATTAAAACGTTTAAAGCTGCGAAACATCTTTTATTATTATAAAATGTTTTGGAAGACGTATTTTAAGTATTATACTTTTTACGTATAGAATATGTATTATATTACTTGTTATCTAAAAACGTGAGGACTGTTATTGCCTCAAAATGTGTTGAGTGACTATAATCGCATATAGTATGGAGGCTTTGTACCATAACGCGTGACTACAGTCACCCATAAGAAAACGTTAATTAGTGATGCTAATATCTGATAGAAGCGTTATCAAGGATGATTTTTAATGCGTTAATTATATGTGTAAATAATATTAAAATAATCATAGGAGAAAGAAAAGAAATGTGTGTAATAATTAATTGTATCTCCAACAAAATATCGTATAAGTTACTTACATAACCGTTACAGAAGTTTTCATGATAGCCCCACATCGCCCGAAGTGTTGAACGGGACTGGGTGCGTTTAGACTCCTCGTTCTTCTGTAAAATAAAAAGAAAGCAAGTGTTAAACATAAAAAAATCATCAGATATACCGAGTGATCTCGTCAACTTCGGGGTAGAGATATCACAAAAAAGTATGAGTATATTCAACTCAAGATTTTGACCTTCGAAATGATCTCCTGATCTTCTCCATTCCTTATTCTATTAGTCATTTTTCAAAGGAAAATGAATAGCGAAAAAATCGGTCTATATCTCTCCTCAAAACTTGTCTTTATTAATATGTTTATTTAAGAAAAATTTTTTAATAAATATTTCGATTAAGAATAAATACAAAATTAATTTTTAAAAAATTTGCATTATTGTTTTGTAATCTATTATAGAATGTTTAACATTATGTGTAAACACAGTTTATATGTATTAGTAGCGTGATTTAGTTTTGAGAGTTTCGCAAGAGATAAAAATATTTTGTTTTTAAAATATTCGTTCATTATCTTGATTAAATAAACCAGTTTTTGAAAAAAAATCTCAAAACTTAATCACATACCTAATAGAAACGATTATTTTATTTTCAAATATAAGTCTATCATAAAAATAAATAATTTGAAATGCAGTCAGTTACGCATGCTGTAACTTGCTGAGTCAAAACAATAACTAGTTTGACCTGGTTATCGATACACGAAAATTGTAATTATAATATATTAATGTATTAGCTTCTTAACATTAGAATAGATTTGAATTTTTTATTTGCTGTCGTGGAACAATTTACGACATATTTTTTTAATGAGTTTAGCAAGTATCATGTACGCAACACATCTATTATGTAGGCAATGCATTTCGTAATAGAACTCAAGTTCGCTGGTTTCAACTTTGTTCTACGTTTCTTCACGATGTAATCAAGTGTAAAAGTGGAATCATACGCTGCTCGATTTCTTGAATGATAAACATGCGTGCATGCATACTGTTATGCTTTGACGTACAATGCATAGTCTGACGTTTGGCAGATAACTATAAAATTAGTAAAATTATTTCTATTCTGAAGATACTGTCAATCGTTTGCTCGATCACGTAACTATTTTTAATCTTTTAATTCGTACATACAAGGAAACAAGTTATGAAGTAATATACAGAAATAAATACAGAGAGATAAAGAAATTATACATATCGACATGCTGTGCTCAATGCGTGAACATATTCTAGCATGTATCAGAGAAAGCATGTATGCATGCTTTTATCATTCAGAAATTGACCATCGTGTGATAATAGCTTAAGATAACCAGAGTCGCGGCTTCATATATATATATATATATAATATATACATACACATACACGCATACATACACATGCAAACATGTTTTGACTTAAAATTAGACATTTTCTATAGACAACCAGTCAGCGTCCAATATCTGCTGTCAGTGAATTTTGTAAATAATTGATCGTAATATTTAGAATATACTTTTTTATGATAAGAGGTCATTATCGAGGAAGATCTACCTGAGGATGCGATTTTGTAGATTATTGTCCATCGACGGGACATTTGACTGGCCATAAACGAAGTCATATTGTCCGTTGATTTCATCAACATTTGATAGAGACATATCAGCCATATCTTGCAGATAATAAAAAAAAAATTAGCACAAAGTCTTTTTGCAGCACTTTGAAGTATTTTATGCATAAAATTTCAAGATATTTGTGATAAAATGATATAGTTAAATTAATATTAATTTACCTAATACTTATCGCGATAGAAAAGGATAAAATAAATAAATATACAAGAGAAATAATGTTACACGTTAAAAATTCGAATAATGTTGATAAGATATTAAGATCCGTCATGACCAAGCAAATTATGATAACCTTGAACGTCTCTCTTTATGAACCACAACAGTATCGCATGTGGATACCGTGCGATACGCGTAATAAAGTAGTCAAGATTTCGTGGCAAAGTTGTGCCAAACAATTTATATTTAGATTCGCGTACTATTAACAGGAAGAAACCACGGTTACTAAAATTAACATCATCCAGTTCCATACGTTTTAAATCGGAATCACTAACTAAAGTCTGTATATGAAACGTCTATAAAAATAAATCATCACATTTCTAATTATTTATTTTGTTATTTTAGTTCTTTCAAAATGCGATTCTATATCGTTTTGTCATGTATCTGCTATATTTGCGAAAAATATCGCATAAAAATAAATATATAAATTTTTTTTTAAACACCAAACATTAAGAAATATATTAAATGTGTATCTATTAAAATGTATCTATTAAAGTATATATATTAAAAAATTATAATATATAGCCAAGTAAAAGGAATCTTGAACATTACACTGTCATAAGAAGAAAGATGTCAAAGGAGGAATATACAATTCCTTAAATTGAAAAAAAATATTTTTTATTACTTTTAATTTCCATATCTACCCAAATCAACGTACGTATTACTGTGATTGAATTGTTTAATTTTAAAATAAATAACGTTATTAACGTATAGACTAAGAGAGTAAATAATAAACTATTTAAATCTAATTTAATACATTTCTTTAATTCTAATCGTTAATTTTAATCCAATTAATAGCTTGTTGAATAAAGATAGTGGCAATCTATAGAAATGATTAAAAATAACTCAAATTATATATAATCTCTAACATTATAAATTTGTATTTTGGTGGGTAAGAATTAAAATATTGTTTAATTTTTGCCTCTTATTCTATTAAAAACATTTTTTATTCATATTATATTTTATTTGAACATTATATAATTTCCAATTATATACGACTTTCACAAGCATAATCGTTCGATTGGATTTATAACTTTCCCGATCTCTCAAATTAACATTTTATTCTTTTCTTATTGAATATTTAAATCCTAGGGCTCAGTCTCGTTTCGAGGTGACGGCATCACGACGTCCTTCATTCATTAAAAGGCCTTCGAAATCATTCTCAATAACAAGCTTTCCTTTTGCCGAAGATATTATTTGAGATAAGATTGTAACGAGAAGTTGCAATTTTTATATTGCTGTTTTACTTTTATCACATGTGATAAGTAAAAATTTACATAATTTATATGTTAATTAAAATATTAGTATCATAAAAAACATTGCTGTAATACAATAGAGACTTTTTTTAATCATCGCATCGAGCTTACCTAAAAAAAAAAATGCATTTACAACATAAAAAATCTTTCTCGAATAAATCGCGCGAGCCTTGAACTTCGTTCGAAACTTTGTATCGAAACTGCCGCAATTTATGCCGGACTATGATCTATTTCTTTGATTCAACCTCTCAATATAGACATGCGATTGCGCATAAATAAATTGTATTCTCTTCTAATGTTACTATTTTAACGTTTCTGACTTCACTGCACCATTAAAACTAACAAGAGCACCAATCTCGCGTACGCGTACCTACTAAAATGTTACACAGCTATATAAAATGTTAAACATGAATTTTTATCTTCGTGCACGGTTTTCGTAATAACTTTTAATCACGATAATTCAGACAACAGCGACTGAGTTGCGAGATGGCCACGCACAGAATGATGCGTCTAGACTGAAAAGTAGCTTACAATTACTATATTCTATCGCTAGCGGTCGGTAGTGACACGTTCCATAATTCACGTCGATGTTGCAGATAGCAAACCTTCTAACGAGTGTCGTAAACAACATTGTGATAATTCTGACACTAAATCTATTAAGTAGACGAAATATATTAAATATATTGTGTCGACGTATATAATCTAGGATACTTTCGTTATCTACTTGTTACTGTACATCCTCGATCATGTATTTGTCCTTTTTTTTAATTAAGACACACTTGCTGATGTAACGTTTTTTTTCGAGATGTTTCACAATTATAATAACAAATGTTATTTAAACGTCAATGCCTAGAATAATTGTCTTCTTCTCTAACAGAAAAATAAAGAATTATTTATACACTGAAAGAAAAGATTGGTGTTGCAGTAATTTAATGATAAAATATGGCATAATATATTAAATTAGTTGCTGCAGCCAATTAAAGATGCTATGCCATATTCAGTCAATTTTCTTTTAGTGTATTTATATATGTTTATATATATTTATGTTTTTACACAAGAAAAACTTTTTAACATGATAAATCGAAAGTTTTATAAATATACACTGAAAGAAAAGATTGATTGCTGTCGTTATTTAGGTAAAATATGGCATAGCGTAATATTTTTATTTGGCTACAGAATAGTATAGAATATGTTGCACAATATTTTATAGAATCACACGGAATACCAGAGATCCTGGTTCGACTCTCGACCGAGGTAATATTCTTCGCAATATAAATTAATGATTTACAGATTTTTAATATGTCATTCAACATTATTAAGATCCAAGATGCTATGAGCATCAAAATTGTTAGATTGTTAGTTAATTTAACTTGTGATGCGGTAGTTTATTAGAGTTTGCGTTGTAAGTCTGAACAAATTTCGGTGCGCATTTAAGAATCTACATACGTAGTATATAAATTCACACAAAATTATAAATTAAAAGCATCCAAGATCCAGCTTGATGGTTGTGACATGTTTTCATCGATATTTAATTTAAGGGGTAAAGCCACTCTAGAATTTTCAACAAATTTTTTTCTTACTTATATAAATGATGCTTTAAGATCTTAGAAATAAAGGTCTTATATAGTGAAGAAAAATTTCTAAGTGTCACTTTTAGAAGTTTAAAGCGTACTTTTCGGTATGATTTGTAGCTTTTGTGAACGGGGGGTCCTTTTGAAAATAATAAAGGAATTACTTACGTGCCACTCGATTATCTCTAAAATTAATTTTCCAAGAATCAGAAAGAAAAGAACATCAACGAGAAAGGTCTATATTGTATGATGCAGGTATCGCAGCTTAAAGGTAAACATTTCTATCGCTAATTCTTACATAAAACTTTAAACGCTTTTCTCGAAATCACTTCTTTCAAGCTGGCCGGAAACAGAATTTCCACAAATTTTGACTGATTTACTTGAAATTTTAACTATAGCTTCAAAATTGCATTCTCTAGAGAAAGACGTACGGATTTTTTCTATGTTGCATATTTTTTTTATATAAACAATTTTTCATCTATTTTTTACCCTTTTAACATTTACTTCAAATTCGTACCATTTTTTCAAAAAACAGTATATTGCAATTTCCGTTACGTCTTTCTCTAGCTTTTGGAATGTTGATTTAAAATTTTTTGATTTTTTGTTCTAGGTTAAAAAAATTGCCGGAGTTATCGTTCCGGCCGCAGAGTATTGTCCATGAGAAGACATTACAATTGCAGAGCTGTAGCGCCGCCATTTTGTAACAAAATCACTATAAAAAATGTGTTTTTACACTTCAATGTATGTACAACAAAGATCTAAAATACATGTTTTTATTTCTTTCATTACATTCTTGAAAAAAATTCATAAAGTTAGGCTTATTTTTTGTGCTCTAAAGTGACTTTACCCTCTAAACTCTCACGGTCCAATAAAATTTGATATTATTTTATAGAATATTGTGTATACATATATTTATATTCGACGAACATTGTAAGGAACATTCGATATTACTTAACAAAAATTAGTAAAATGTGGCATAGCATTTTTTATTGGCTACTGCAGCGAAAAATGAGCTAGATGCTGTAGCCAATTAAAAATGCTATGCCATATTTTACCATCTAAATTACTGCAGTCAATTATTTCTTTCAGTGTACGGATATTCATAGAACATTAATAGTTTTGTTATTCTAATATTATGTGAACATAAATATTTAATATTATATTTTTAGTACATTTTTTTATAGAATAACAAATATTTTTAATAAATATTTATATAACATTCATGATATGTTTATGTGCTATCTAAGTGTACCAGGTTTTTAAAATTGTTAAGACAAGTCTAGTTTAAGGAAATGTTAGTTTCTTTTCTCTTGTTTATTTTACTTGACACAAATCAAACTCTTGATCAGTCGAGAAAATTTATACGCTCTCTTTCTAAACGATTAGATTTCCTGTAAAAGGTGTCAAAACCGGTTTTTATTACTATATAAACACATCGAAATATCAAGTAGATAATATTGTTGAGAAAGTAATATCTGTAATGACGAGATTTGCCATTAATCCGCCACCGAGTCAAGACCCGTCTTCGTAAAGAAATGATTCGTTCAGATGACACACGGGCTGTTTGGGCCCAATCAACGAAGAGAAAACAGTGAGAACAGTTTTGTAATCGATTGCATCGAACGCGAATTCCTGAAATTCCGACTGACGCCGCAACGGAGGCGCCATGGGTGCGAGCCATACAGGAGCTCATCGAGCGAAGCCGGATCGGATGGAATGTGCGGTGAAAGGTGAACGCGTTCTCGCTCTCAAAGAAAGGAACAGCAAGAAGTGCTCCCACAGCATTCGTGATTCAAGTGGACGCTGATGCTTAAAGATACACGGTGCACAATCGTAGTGATTTCGCAGAACTCCAAAAATCTAAGAGGGTAAGAGGTTATAGCTTTCATATTCTAACACATCGAGAAATAATCACGTTTTTATATATTCGAGGTGGATGAAGACGGTAGGTCGTATGACTGATAAAATTATGAGTTATGGCAGCGATGGATATCACTATTTCTCGCACTATTCCTTATTTATTGTAGTAATACCTCAATTCGGCTTCATCCATGAGCGCTGATTTCACAGTCGGTACACGTTAAATTTCTTGACAGGTGGGAAAGAAACGACGCTTGTAATAATTAAGGCAATGTGATTAAGGTACACTTCGGCGCTGACAGCGTCAGTTTGACACACGAGGAACTATAGTCGGCAATGTCTTCTAGGTTGTGAAGATGCCGACGCGACATCGAGACGCCCAGCAGGTAGTACGATATACGCAAGCGCGACAACGCTAATCAATTATAAACACGCAGCCTATTTGTTTTACTTCTAATTTCAATCGTTTTTTTTTTTTCTTCGAAATTCTATTGGTTTCCTGATCAATCGAGCTGAACAAATTCGATCGAGGATCTCAGCTAGATTAATTTCACTTGTGGAAAATGTCAAAGAATTTTGAAAAGAATTTTAAATACTTGCAATAATTAAATAACTTTGAAACTAATAAAGACCCTAAATATTTAAAAATTATATTATTTTGTTTTATTCTCTCTCTCTCTCTCTCTCTCTCTCTCTTCTTTCCTATCTCTTTTTATAAATATTTATATTATATAAAAATTTAATTATAATTTGCGATTAAATTAAATTAATTAAGTACAATGTTTTAGTATCTGAAACCTTGTTTTTAACGAGAACGATAATGTCATAATATGGCAAAAGAGTTGAGCAAGCTATTACATATTGAATCTTATGTTACATGCGAGATAGAGTCAAATTACGTGATCTCACTTTTATACAGTGAAACAAAAATTCTAGTTTTGCATTAATAAAATTGCTTACTCGTAGTTGGCGTGATTTTTATATGAATATGAAATAACACTAAATCAACGATAGTATATTCAGAAATCAATTTATTATATGTGCACGTTTTTCGCAGCATTGATTGAGTATCACACGATGAAATAAAAAATTTATTTATTTATTAACGATAAAAGAACAATAATCTCTTGATATTGTAAAATGATAAAACGATTATGTCCCATCAATACATTTTTTTTATTTTAAAAACTATAGTACAAATATATTGTGATAACCGATGTATGGCTGTTAAGATATCGCATTTTACAGTTATCACAATCAAATATATTAATGGAAAATTATCATTATTTCCGATTGTGACAACCCTAACACTTTTTTTCTGAGAAATGTTCTGAAAGCTAAATATTCTAATCACTAGATTAGAATTGAAATTATGCATATATTACTTCATTTAATTAGTGAGGTCTAAACAATACTAGATCCCCGCGCGCGCGCGCGCGATTCAGATTAGAATTATTTAATCAATTAAAAGGATTATCCGTTATTTCTGAGTATAAGGAGCAAAGAAGTTGCTCCTGTAATCTAAAACGTTAAAAGTGTACATCACATCTCAAAATATTATCAAAAATATAAAAATTTCATAGATTCTTCATATAGATTCTATTATTACGTCTGATTATGAGTATTTATATAAAATTTAAACATATTGTTTAGGTTTAAAAGTAATTTAATTTTTTTGTTTGTCTTGATTTTTATATAAACTTTCTTATATATAATAATTATATATTAATAAAAGTGTAATAAATATTTATACAATAATTTATTTAGATCCATATTTTACTTATTTAAAAGTTATTTATCTAAAATTGCAACAAAACGTGGGCTTCGCGCTACATAAGCTGTTATAAATAAAATTATTTATTGTTTTGTTTTTTGCAGTTGGTTTCAATTATTTACGATACCAATTTTTTGGTTGATATTATTAACTGATATTGTCACAAAATATTGTCAAAACATCCAACGATGCCAACCTATTTTGTAATCAAAGTTGCTGACGTGTTAACATATCGTTCGCATTTCGCTTATAGTTAGATGCAGAAATGCAACTCGATGTTATTTTCGCGAAACAGGTAATAACAATGCGCTTTTAGATGCAGCAGTCAGTTACATTTAAAGATTTTATTTCCTGCTGAAAACCGATAGTTGATAAAACCTTGCCGTCTCGTCTGTTTGTTGTTGAAAATATACACTTTTGTTAAAAATTTTAAAAATTAAAAAATTTAGCTAGATCTAAAAATAATCTTGTTAGACATTAACATAATTATGTAGGAAACTAAAACTATCAAATAATGCTGCAAAAATTTATTACATTCTAGCCAACAGTTTGAGCATCTTATATAATTATTTTCAAACAAAATTATTTGCAGATCTATATTCAGCTACATTTTTAGATACTGCAGTAAAATCATTCTTCTCTTGTAGGATTGGCATGAAATCATTCGACTGGGTTTACTCAAAAGCTCATCACTGTTTCTTTTTATCATTTCTTGGAAGATTCGAGTAAAGTTTTTACTCACGGCCAAGTACCGGATCGTCTCCGTCTGCGTGTCTCTGGTTCTCCGTCACGATCCTCTAGCAAAAGTCTTCCTGCGCTGTCATTTTCGTTTCCAGCAATGGCGCCCTTACATTCAACTAGGCATCTCCAATTGAGCAGTTCGCTTACGCTTCGTCTACGCAGTTTTTCATTCACCATTTCCATCATCCGAGAAATACCTCCTTTAGTTTTACCACGCGTGTTCTACTTCTTGCGCCGTCAATTAAGATTGTCCGATTTTACTTCCGCACGACCGCATGTTTCAAGTTGTAGCCAAGTGCTTTTGCATTACTTCTTTTGAACTTAATGAACGTCCTTGCATAAGCCAGCATTGGCAGCTGCTTTCGATTAGTATCAATTCTAAATAACGATCTCACATCCTCCCATCGCATGTCACTTTCGAATACACGATAAATTATGCGCTTTCCTTTTTTCGCAATAATAATCACTCTTGGCATTTGAGGATTATCTTTCAGGATGGATGGACTTGTGGTTCATGCATACGGCGAGAAAACCAGCGATCAATCAACCGTAGCATAATTCTTGGTAACTTTTACGCAGTGGTATCGTCTTTACTTCACTTCTTGTATAACACATGCAAATATATTATATTCAAGGACATAGCTACTTGCGATTCCGGTCGTATTTCATGTACATTGTATGTACATGGACTTTAACAATAATTGCTTTAGGTTTATATTAGAATTAGTAATAGTTGCCTTGAACTTTGGTCCTGTCAAGTCTGCGTACGAAAAGACTTTCGAAAGAATGTCTCACGGGCTTCGTTCTTGTTTCGCATTAACGTGTGTTTGCGACCTACTTCCTTGCACAACCACGGGGAATTTCACTTGCCGATGGACGAGGTAGCCGATAATGAGTCCCACTCGCAAACGTCACGTTCAACTTTTTATCTTATCAGGTTAGCATCAGGTGCACTGGCTAAACTTCCAGTTTGCAAAATTTATTCGCGATTATTTTGCAAAATTTGATGTAGCTAACGTAATATTTATAAACATAATAATTCTTCGTGGATGTTTAAATGTATTTTTTTTTTTGCAATACTATTTTTAAAACACATATCTTTTATATATTTTTTAAAACAATTAATAAGACACTACATTGTTAAAATCTTGTTTCTCGAAGACTGCTAGTTTTGATTATGATTACGTTTCATCACTAGTATATCGTAGCTTTATTCAAGCTACAAAATATACGCGCGAATACACGTCTATAATAATTTTTAAATTAATTCTCTTTGATAATTCGTAAGGGAGGATATCGTATTGAAGAGAAAAATGGTCTAATATTACTCGTTAATGAGAACGATGAAACGAGGTCTCGAAGTTGGCACACACAACGCGCAACAACTACGATCGACGACCGCTGAAGGTTCACTGAGAAGCGATTTTACCGGCCGTAGCCGGCCGAGAGACAGTTAAGGCTTTCTAACTCGCGTTTCTTTCCCCACCATCATGTGCCCTCGTTATCGTCACGCTCGTGATATTGAAAAATTTACGAAAGGGTCGGGAGTTCGAACGATTTGTGATAACTTAGAACATAAGATTAATCGAAGGTCAGGCCATACATATGCGCACACACGTACCAAACATTTTATTATTTTTATTATACTACTCTTATTTTATTTCGATTATGTTCTATTTTGTCTTATTTTATTAATCTTTATTATTTAAAAAATTAAAATTGTTATATTACTTACACTAACTTTACAGATTTTATATGTAGAATTAATATACATAATAAATAGACTTTTTTATAGTTATATATTGCAATTATACGATATATTGCACATTGAGTTAATTGAACATTAATTCCACCCATAAAACTTATATAGTTATCAGCTTTATAGCTTTTAACACGATATTTTCCTCTGAGTGCATCCTTTCAATTTTTTTATAATTATATTTCATAAGTTTTTTGATGAAAAAAAAATTATTCTCATTTTAAGCGAAATATACTCCCCTTTCCAATTGTGGTAATATTTCGTTGTTGACCGAGGAAACCTTTATGTTTTGTTGTTTCGAGTCGACGAAAGTAATAACGACTTACAGGTACCTACGGCGAATTCGATGTGTAGAATAGAAGATGCTGTATTGCTAAAGATGTTTCACCACATCGACATGACTCATTTCTATTTATCTTATTTTCTTTCTAGTACTGAAAATAGTTTCATTCGTTTCGGCTTGTTTTTGTTGCATTGTATATCGTACTTTCTCATGTTCAGCCATATTCCTTATGAAACATGACAATATTGAATAATGTATGATGTTTAAATGTTTGTAACCATGGCGAGTTTTTACATCACGTGACGATGTGTATAGTAGTTGTATAGTAGCTAACTGTCTTTACTTTCGCTTGTAATAATTCAGTCAAACGAACACTCTTTGGAGAAAAAAAATCTGTAAAACATCGGATACAGTCGTTTATCTCAATAGAAAACAGAGAATTGTACTTAATAAATTTTTCTTTAAATATTTTCACTGCTCGAATCTATCTACGGTGACAGAAATCATTACAATGATGCTGCTATTAAAATGATTTATAAAAATTGGATATATGAAATGTTTTTCAAATCAATCACCACTTTAGATACGTTCAATTCTTCTATAAGGATTAAATCATAAAATTGATGTAATATTATTATTTATCAAAAATAAATTGATTGCTAATTACATTTTATTTATAATTTAATAAAGTCGCTTTGAAATATATATTTTTTATGCGACAGAGAGGTTACATTTGATGTTCTCATATATTTTCATTCTTCTACTATATTTTTAAATATTACTATAGAGGAATGTAAAATTTTTTTTCAAATATTGGAGGTAATTTTTTACAAATAATATTATAATTTGTAAATGTGTCAAATTGAAACTCTTGCTTGCTACAGATATGTAACATGTCAAGTGCGATGGTGGTGTAATGGTTAGCATAGTTGCCTTCCAAGCAGTTGATCCGGGTTCGATTCCCGGCCATCGCACAGACCATTTATTTTTTGAAAATTTTTTTTATTTCAATTTTAATTAAAACATTTCCATCAATAAGGAGAAGTCTGGATAAGTTAGTTATCCATATTGATATGACATTTACAAGATTTTTAAATTCATCGTTATACATATTATATTCACAGTTGTCCTATCTGATAACATTGTAATAAAATGATAAAAATTTACTAGCTGTGCATTATATTTTAACATAATAGATATGTTGACAGTCATGATAATAAGTTTAATTAGATAAAATACAATTTAATACTTTTATAAAAATATTCAGCACAACTGCCATATATCCTTTGAAGAATACCCGGCAATTCGGAAAGCACTGCTGGTGTAGTGGCATCATGCAAGATTCCCATTCTTGCGACCCGGGTTCGATTCCCGGGCAGTGCAAGTTTACTTTTTTTCTAACTTTTTTTATCCGAAAGAAATTAAGAGGGGTAGAAACGATACAGAAACACATTCTCTTATTAATTAATATTTGTTCAATTTTTCTACAGTTTTTAATATTTCGTGTATTGATTACTCTACTGACAGTACTGATAATAATGTATGACATAGTGTTATTATCAATTTCGATGTGGAATTTTTTGAAGAAGTTAATCAGTAAAGAGTTGTCTTTTATAATTATCTAGTATAATGACAAACTGTATCATATTAATTAGCGATAATTTATTCATTCAATAAAGTTAGCAATTTCTCAATTTATATTTATCTGCCAAGGATTCTTTATCACTTAATAAACTTGAGATTATAAAAAAAAAGACATCAAAAGCTATCATCAAAACAATGTATTATGAAACTTTTGATGCATTCCCCAAATGAGATAAGCACTATGAGAGAGAAACCGCTGTGTCATCGAATATTAAATCAAAATTTTTTGAAAATTATTACATCACATTTTTTCTAAGAAGCAAATAAAAAAACGTGCATTTATTTGAACTTAAAAGGATTTTTATAAAGGGTCTGTATTTACGTCACATTTTTATCGATAAATTCGTAGCATATAACTTACGTTATAGCATATAAGTATATATACTATAGAATTTTTGAAATATGTGCGCGCATTTATTAATAAAAATGAGGGGTGAATATATACTGACCAATATATGTATATATTGTAGTACATTTATTGAACGAATATTTGACGGTAATTTCTGTTTGCCTATTATTATAAACGCAATTTTTAAATAAAATTTGGAAGTAAACGTGCAATATGATAATATATAGACACATAAGATTACGCGTCGTAAATATTATTATACTCGAATAGACGAATAAGTCATGATAACATCAAAATAGCATTAAGATGAATCAGAAATAATTGAAAAAAAAATTATTTTTAATAATCATTTTGGAATCATTTTGACATCGTTTTGATATTATAATAAATTGTTGTTCTGCTTGATTTATAATAATTACTTTGTAATAAGAACATTTTCATAAAAGAGGCGCGTTTACGATACCTGATAGTAGAATAAATAAGAGATTTTCTCGTACGCATCACCACTTGGAAAAGGATACTTCTACTACGTAGCATTACTATATAATTGGCATCACTGTACTGAAGATGAATTTCCAACGTTTCCATTCCTCGACGTGCACGGCACATCAAAGAAGTAAAGAAAAATTCTCACGATAAGGAGAACCTCAGTGATAACCCAGTCTTACCAAAGAGAACAAACCGATCGCGTGCTAATACTTGTGTCAGGCGTAACGTGATTGGTCTGAGATACCGACATTAATCGCAGGAACTTATTAAAAGAACAGCTGATACCTAGATAACATTCGGTCTCACTTCCTATCACGCGTTAGTTTCTAGTGGGAGTCGAGAATAAAATGTTGAGGAGCTTTAAGATCAAATTGATGTATAATTAATGGAATGTGTGTATTTGTGCAAGACAATGCAATCATTATCATCGAGAATTCAAGAACGGAGTAATGCTGTATTTACAAAACGATGAGATATTTTAATTCCGGTCGTGCATCAGCACATACCACGCGTCAGTAGATACAATATTGGCATATGCTGCCGCTGTGAAAACAATAAGATACGTTCGGATGAAGTCTATATGTAGTTTCAGATGTCACAACTGAATAGATTCATGTTTCTCAGAACGATAATTATATCTGCATAATTATATTACATACTTCAGTACTTGACTTTTTACAGAAAGTAAAATGGTAATCATAAAGTAAAATATATATGAAAATTGATATATATTTAATCTTTGCAATAAAAAACAAAATTCACAAAAAGAAGAATGACTTTATTCAAGTATATCTAAAAATTTAATTTAATTTGAATAATTTAATAATTTTATTGAATTATCGAAATAATTATGTAGAATGCTCAAACTGCAAATTGCGAGAACATTAAAATTTTTTATAACATTATTATGCTTTAATTTCCTACGAAATTATTTTGAGGATCCAACAAAATGATTTTCAGATCTCTCTCTTTCTCTCTCTATTTAATTAAAATTGTAGATATTCCATTAAAATCGTTTGTGCGATAAACATAACTCTCGGTGCAGCCGCGATGAAGTTTCGCGAAGCAACTAATTGATTGACACTAATTAGTTAGGTCAAGATCATGAAATAAATTTTGTAGAATGAATAATGAGCAGCAATAATAATTCAGCATTATTTTGACTTATCCGTAAAACAGATTGTATTTCTTCTATCAAATTGAGACGTACTACAACGATTAAGCAAGCAGAAGAATCTTTATTTGATTGAAAATAAACGACAGTACACGAAGTGCGAAGAGCGACATAAAACATTCTCGTGCCACATTAAAACGAATATATACGTAGTTGTAGCATGATAAATGTGGATCAATGTGCGAATTCTCATAGAGCATACAAGCTCTCTTTCAAAGAGTTTATATCCAATAGTTCATTATGACATAAAGAGGTCATAATGTAAAGGCATAGAAAGTATATAAAAAGAACAGCTGAAAAA